CTGCTTCCTGTACAGAGTACTTGCAGTAGGTCACGTCCACGCAGGGCAGACGCTCCATGAACGGGCGGGTCTTCAGCAGGTAGGTGGCCGGGTTCTCTATGACCCCATCAAGAAGTCAAAGTGCGCAATGATCTCAAGGAGCACCAGCGCGTCCGTCGCCCTCCAGGAACCGGGCTGGCCCAAACCATTCGAAGTGCCCCGGAAACTAGTAGTAGTGTAGTCCCAGCTCCGGATGTCAGGATGGTGGGCTCAAATTTCGACACGATGTCCAGGGAGACGACCTCCCAGCCCGCCGCCTCGAAGGCCCTGCCCACTTGGTGCCGCAGAAAAGCTCCAGGAGTCTCAGCATTTTGAAAGAGCGCCGGTTTTTCTCCGCAAGATAAAAAGCCGAACCTCTCTCTGTAGAGGGGGTTTTCCAAATGGTTTATATTCTACCTGAGAGGCTTCTAGCACTCGTCCGTCCAGCATTTGACCTCGTCCTGCGAAGGATTCGAAGTCTAAAACGCTGCGTGCAGGCGTGTGGCTGCAAAATAGAGACCCCTAGATATGCTTGCAATTTGGCTCCAGGTTGCATTTCAAGCGAGCCAACCTTTGCAGGGCTAAGAAAAAACAAAAAAAAAAAAGAAAACAAGGGGTCCAAAAAAAAGGGGTCCCCGAAAAAAAGGGAAAAGGGGTTTCCTTTGGCAAAGCTTGACATCGCTTGAAAATGCAACCTGGAGCCAAATTGCAGCGCATATCTAGGGGTCTCTATTTTGCAGCCACACGCCTGCACGCAGCGTTTTAGACTTCGAATCCTTCGCAGGACGAGGTCAAATGCTGGACGGACGAGTGCTAGAAGCCTCTCAGGTAGAATATAAGCCATTTGGAAAACCCCCTCTACAGAGAGAGGTTCTGGGAATGCAGGGATTCCCTGGAAAAACCCTGCATTGGACAGAGATCTTCAACACAAGTGCAAATACAAGTGCCACTCGTGTTCACATTTCTGCCGCGCCAAGCCGCCAAAAGCGCTTAATTTCAACATGTCGGAGTACATGTCGGATGAACATGTTCTTCCCTGACACGCCAGCCCGCCGAGTCATACGGATCATACCGGCTTGGCGCTCTGGGCCACCTGCACGGCATGAAAAAAAAAAAAGGGGGGGCTCCCTGGCCGCGCCACCCTGACCAGGCATTGAAGCGCGCCAAACCCCTGAACCCCCACTCTCCCCCGCGTCCTTGCTATATGTGCTATATGTGCTATATCTTACACGCCAAGCCGCTGAACCCCCACTCTCCCCCGCGTCCTTGCTATATGTGCTATATGTGCTATATCTTACACGCCAAGCCACTGAACCCCCACTCTCCCCCGCGTCCTTGCTATATGTGCTATATGTGCTATATCTTACACGCCAAGCCGCTGAACCCCACTCTCCCCCGCGTCCTTGCTATATGTGCTATATGTGCTATATCTTACACGCCAAGCCGCTGAACCCCCACTCTCCCCCAGCTCCTTGCTATATGTACTATATGTGCTATATGTTCTGTACGCGCGAAATCTGTGGTATATGTGCTATATAGGGCCATATAGCACATATAGTACATATAGCAAGGACCTGGGGGAGAGTGGATGTTCAGTGGCTTGCCTTGTGAGATATAGCACATATAGCACATATAGCAAGGAACCCTGGGAGAGTGGATGTTCAGTGGCTTGCCTTGTGAGATATAGCACATATAGCACATATAGCAAGGAACCCGGGGAGAGTGGAGGTTCAGCGGGTTGGCGCTACTCATCTCTTTTGTTTCTTGCACCAGCAGTCCTAGTCACTGCTTCCAGTGACGGCGTGAGCTGGAAGGTGGTCCTTCGCATACGCCGCTGTTGTGTCTGGTGATGCGCCGACTGTGACGGTGGACGCTTCTGCCTTGCGACCTGGGCGCAGCTATTCGCGCTGTGCTGCTGCCTCAGTGCTGGAGCCCTAAGCCACGCTCGAAGCGAAGGTCGTCCATGACGGTCCTCAGGGCGTTTTTCCCAGTGTGCTGCAAAGGTCGACCACGGGTCGGGCGCCGGGGACTCTGGGCTGAGAGTCTACCTGGAGTGTCAGACGTGGAGCCCAAGCAGATCCGCGCAGCGCAGGCGCTGCCACATGCCACATGTTTCTCAGGACAAGACGTGGCAGGTCTTGCAAGCGTTGCAGGCGTTGCAAGTGTTGCAAGTCAGTGCCATTGGGAGAGTATGATACTTCTCCTCATGCAGGCTCAGGAGTTGAGCTTCACTTGTGATGTTTGCTCTAGCCGGCCTGACGACAGGCTGAACGTGCAGATGAAGCAAGTGCGACGTGATAAGACATGAGATGGCGGAGAAGCACAAAGACGCCGGATGCAAGTGGCCTGCAGCTAGGGCTGGGGGGCTCAGTCCAACTCCAATGAAGGGCATTTTTTGTCCACCGTCATGCTACATGTGCAGGCAAGCCTACATCGCTTGCGTTGACCTTGATGCCTTGACGGCGATGGTATGAAGTACACAGTGGGCGACTCTGGTGTTGTTGCATACGTCTCTGGTGCCCAGGCTGAAGCAATTTGTTTCTTGTATTGTCGGATTTTGCATCTTTGTCATCAAGGTTTTCCTTCCTGTGGATTCTACTGCGTAACCTCTGCAGATGGCTATGTGTCTCCAGCCATTCACAGCTTTGCATTGGCCTGCGACGCTTGCACTGCAGCTTTGCAGATGCACAGCTCCTTGCATATGATTGCAAGGCAAGCCGCTGTTTCGAGACAGACCCCTGTGCCTCGCGCCGCGCTTTGCGCGGCTCCGGGACTCCAGGACTCCAGGACTTCAGGACCAGGAGTGGATTTCTTCGGCAAAAGCGCGTGGCCCATGTGGACGGCCTGGACGGAACTTGCAAGTCGGCATTTATCACAAGCCCTGCGCGGACATGGAAGGCGATGCTTGTCCTGTTGGCGCTGTTATGTCGACACATCTTATGCTATGGCCACCTTTGGGTACTTTTGGCCTACTTCTTTCCGCGTTTGAGTAAGGACATCGCGACCTTGCCAGCAGGCCCAGCAGGCTTCGATGTCTATGTCTATGTACCCTGTCTGCTAAGTGTCAACGAAAGCGTACTTGCAACATGCTGGTTTACTTTCGAGCTCCTGAAAAAAGGCACCAAAACGGGAACCCAACTTTCAGGCACTACCATACACTCCTTTGACGTGCTGAGCTCTGCAGCAGTCCAAGGGCTACAGGATTCCCAACTGCAGCGAATCAGATCGTCCAGACATGGGCCTGGGAGCTTGGCATGAAGTCTGGGATGGGTTGGCAGTTGAAGCTACTTGGGTACCAGAGTTTCAATTCCCAGAGTTTCAAGCTCGCGTGCAGACACATAGACGGGCCTCGCAAAAACGCGGACGCCCCCGTGTGTGCCGCCTGGCGCTGTCACGAGAGACTAAGATGGACATGGCGGACGTTTCCTCAACACGTTTGCTCTGCTTTAAAAAAGATGCAACTATTTGTTGGGGAGTTGTGAACACCAATTTCCGCAGTTGGGAAAAACAACGCTGAGATCTATGATGGCCGGACCACAGCATTCGGCATTGGCAACGCCTTTGGCACTGGGAAGACGGAGGTTGCGATCCGGAGTGCCGAGATGACCTGCGCAACGCAGCCCGGCTTGAGAGTCGCTTCCATCTCCTTCAGCAATGGATACAAGAGCCCAGCTTTGACTGACACCGTGAAGGACGACAGCTTGAGGGCAAAGAGGGGCAGCCAGGTGCTCCGATGCAGCAAATACTGCGGGCTGGATACGGGCAACGCGGGTCATTGACAACGAGGTGCAGGGCAATGCGAGGCTTTTTCAAGGGATTGTTGCAGCTTACATGGGAAATCCTCAGTGGAAGCTTCCTGGCTATGTTGAACAAACCGATGCCAAACTAATCGTCATTCTTGACGAGGTGCAGGAGTTCGCCTTCAGCACGCTGGAAGGCCTACCATGATCATTGTGCCGTCAAAGACTCGCATGAGTGTGGTTGGTGCTTTTGCGCCGTCCTTTTTGAACCCCTCTGCCAGTCGACCGCGCGATGTAAGGCTGCCAGTATAAGCAGAGGATGACATGGAGCAGATTTTCCAGGACAGGATTCCAGGTGCGCGGATCAATTTCGAAGGAGTGTCATTGCCGGGGCTCTTCGGCGGCTGTGTGCGGCCGCTAGCCATTTGGTCCTCTGCGAAAGAGGAACTTGGAATGAACCAGGACCCCACCCAGTCCTGTCTTCGCCAATATGAGAATCTTGCATCCAACTACTGGACGACGGCGGACCTCGTTCAGGCGGCCGTTGCGGATGTGCCCATCTGCTCTGAGATGCTGAAAACTGCATTTATGCAGAACAGCCTGAGTCTCGGCGCCGCCTTCGTCTTACCCAAAGACCGGCATATCCTTGTTTCGCTGCCACCCTTGCAGATTGCGGCAGGCCAGTTCGAACTTCCAACTGAGATAGATAAGGGCACTCAAAGGAAAGTTCGTGACATACTGCACCTACGTGGACGCAGTTCGAGGAGCTCACGGGCATCGCGCCAGCTTTGCGAGTTGCTGCAACATGGGCCTGATTCTTGGTGGCCATACCGTTCTGCAGCATGTCTTTGGAAGCGAGGCCTCCAATACCAAGGCCCAGGAACTGCTCAGAAAAAATGTGAGGGAAGATCTCGCAGTGCGTTGGGTCAGAGGTGGCACAGATGTGGCAGCAGTGAACTTTTCTCAGCGATGCTGGCGAGAAGGAGCTGTTGACCATTGGCATGGCCGGAGATCACGATTCAACATTCGACCACTTCCTCATTGTCCCGCTGGACAATGGCGAGAAGCTCTTGTTCTGCTTAGATGCAAAATTTAGCGTGGAGGGTATGGAGAAGGACTTGAACTTCCAGCGAGACATTCAGCCCAAGCTGAAGGGATTCTCAGCAATGAACCTTCCAACAAGTTGGCATACTTTGGTCCTTATCGTGTCGAATCGCAGGATCACCGCAGGACAAGCAAGACGTGTAAAGAATTCTGCAGAGGCGCCGCTAATCGCAGCAGGGGCGGAGCACCTGCAGCGCGTGCTGTCGTGCTCTTTGGTCCCACCAGCATACAGAGAACGGAGGCGAAAAAAGCAGAGTTAGTGGATGTGAGTGGGACGCTGGTGCATGTTGCAGCCAAAACACCGCGAGCGCTTGGGATTGCAAGGCGGGGTCATGAACCTGAACGAACGGGTTGCGTCGGTTCTCATTGCAATCCCCATTCAAATTATTTTGACCTCGGCTGCGAAGAAGCCATTGAAACTGCATCTCTAGAGTCTGCGTGTGTGTGTGTGCTTAGAAGACCTGAATTGAAAAATGTTGGCGTGCCTGCCGACGGGGTTTTGGGGCGAATCACACTCCGGGATTCTTTTTTGTCATGGGATGCTTAAGGCTTGTGGAGGGTGGCCTTGACTCCTTGCACCCCGTTACACAAGAAAAGCTTCCCCAAAAACGGCGTGGTGAAAACGATCTGCTTCTGCGCACGCACCTGCCGCAGGATGGCAAAAAAACAACTGTGCGTCAGCAAAGCTTCACACACTAGGCTGTCACCAAGGCCGGCCCAGTACGTCCACTAAGTACTGTTGGGTCCACCGGGCCCACTGTGTCCACACACCATACGCCTCGGAGAAGCCATCCTTCTCCATGCAAACCATGCAAAAGACATGACGGTCGTAGTGCTTCGCATGCTGAGTAAGGAGTGCTCCCTCTGTTGGCGAAGTTTGCAAAGCCGACGTGCAAACAGCCAGGTTGCTTTTGGCGTTTCCGGCCTCTGCGTTCAGGCCAGGTGGCGTCCAGCGTGTTTCTCACATGGCCGGGGTCCTTTGCAGATGGAGGATCCGATGAGATTGTCAGCGCTAGCAGGCCGCTGGCCTGCTTGCAAGCCTCTGGCTTGCCCCCACGGTGTGGGCGCTGCTGGGGCGAACCGACCAGTTTGCCAGCGAAACGTCCGTGGGGCCCAGGATTTGCTCCCTGATGCCAGCCACCACCTCGTCGGCCCCTCCGAGGCTGCCTCCGTGACTCCCAGCTTGCCGGCTAGCCGTCCATGTAGTAGCTGAGCAGTGCGGCGGCGATGCTCGAGGCCGTTGCCGTGTCCTGGTCGGCAACCGAGCGGTACGCCACCAGGATCTGGTTGGTCGTGAAAACGTCCTGGTCCGGGCCCGTCCGGTAGGCCAGCAGCGCGCCCGCGATGGCTGCCTGCGTCTCCGGTAGTCGGTCAACAGTGCGTCCACTTGCGCCGGGGTGTAGTAGGCCAGCAGCGCAGCCGAGATGGCGCTGGTCGTCTCGGCGTCCTGCGCCGTCCCCGTTCGGTAGAGCAACAGCGCGTCCACTTGCGCCGAGGTGTAGTAGGCCAGCAGCGCAGCTGCGAGGGCCGCGTCCGCCGCTGCGATGGAGTAGCAGTCGGCCGTGATGCTCAGCGTGTCGTCGCCGTTGGCCAGCGCAGCAGAGAGAGGAGGTTCGAGATGCAGGTTGCGAACGACGTTGCTTCCGCGAACGAGCTCCCAAGTTGTGAACCCCGCCCAGGCCGGCGCGTTAACAACTCCGCCGCTGCCGGAAGCTGCAGGGCGGCGAGCTCCGCGAGGATTGCGTCGAGGGCGCTCTGGAGCGTGGTCTCGCTGGCCGAGAGCGCGGCGTTCGTGGCGTACGAGGCCAGCAGCGTCGCGTCGCCCTTGGCCCCCTGGAGCGCCGAGATGCTGGCGTCCCGGCTAGCAAGCTGCGCTGCGACGTAGGCCTCGGTGGCAAGACCCAGCAGGGCATTTGCTATCTTGGTGTCTACCTCCACCGGCGTTGTGCGTACGCGGTCAGGGGTGGCGTCTGCCTTGGAGGCCTGCAGCCCCGAGATGGAGGCGTCTCGACTTGAGGAGGGTGTTGGCCACCTTGGTGTCGACCTCCAGCGGCGTGATCCTTGCTGCGATGTCGAGGGAGTGCTGGTCCACCACCGTCTTGAGGCCGTAGTTGGCTGCCACCGTGGCCAGCGTGGCGTTGTTGGCCGAGGCGATGGAGCCATTCATGGCTGCCAGTTTGACAGCTTCAGGTCCACGCTGTCGGGGGTGCTCTTCGAAGGCCGACTGGTCAGCCTTGTTCGAGAGACCCGTGGTCAGCGAGCTCTGCAGCGCAGCGATGCTGCTCCCGTGCGCAGCCACCTGCCCGTCCGTGGTGGCCAGGGCTGAGGTGCGATTGGCGGCGCCAGTGCGCGCTCTGCAGTGACCCGGTCGTCCAGAGACTGGATGGCAGCTGTGTTGTTGCCGGATGCTGCTGTGTTCACTAGGTCTGCCACTTGCGCGTAGGGCGCCCTGCGGTGACGTGCGTGCCTTCCGTCACCTCTCCGTTGTCCAGGACCTCCGGGATGTTCCCGGTGACAGGTCCTTCAAACATCTTTACATATGTTTTCGCCGACGCCTTAGTGCAGTGGCTAAGGCGTCGGCCAAGGAACTGACCGCTTCTTACTCCGCCTGCCCGGACGGCGAGTTGGGTACGGGGCCCAACACGCCAACCACTGCGCCACTCAAAGCTCCACGACAGAAACGCACTTACAAGGCCAGAAACAGCGCTTTAAGCCCGGGCAACTCGAACTTTCGAGACGCACAGAATGCGACTAGGACCCGTTTTGCCTGCATATTGAAGCAAGCTGAAAACCCTTGCAGAAGTGCAAGCAGAAGGGCTGTGGCCGCACCGCGCAAAACCACCAAATTTTCGCAGAATCCACATATGCTGAATGATAACCTTTGAGGATGCGCTGTGAGCGGTTTTAGATTTCACAAATAACAGAGAGAGCCTCGGCGTCCTCGAATCTGTACATCAAGAAGTGGACGTTGATCCTCTTGCCGCAAACGGACGCGGCCTTGCTGCGGCGCCCACCACGCCCGCGCTCTTCAGCAGGTCGGAGACGTTGAGCTTCACTCGCTTGCCCGGATGCTCCACCTCGTGCTCCTGCCGGGTCGCTTTGATAAAGGATTCGCAGGCCGCGTGGATGTCCTCCCTGCTGTCCGCACTCGAGGCGCCGGTGGCTCTCTCCGTCTTGGTGGACAGGAGGACTTCACTAAGTCGCCCACCTCGTCCTTCACTTCCACCTTCAGCAGGGCCAGGCATTTCGTGGGAATCGGGCCGATGGAGTGGGCCTGTCCTTCAAAAGGTGCTTGTAGACCAGGTGCAGGATCGCGAAGAAGGAGGGTGTGGTGGATCGAATGGTGTCCTCCACCGGGACCCACGTTTTCTGGGGGGCTCGTTGGCGGCGAAAAACGCCAAGAACTGCGGCTTGTACCTCACGATCTTCTCGTACAGGTCGCGCCCAGACAGCTCGGAGATCGGGTCGGTGAACTTCTTGTACACCTGGAGCCGCATCGTCTCACTCCCGTCCACCTCCCGGATGCTCACAAACTTTCTGGCGCGGCAAAGCGCATAGACGGGGGAGGGTGCGTTGGGGTCGCGAATCTTGGAGAACGTGGAGGCAGCACTTGTGTCCAGTGTCCGAGAGGATTTTGAAAAATCTCGTGCACTCCGTACGGCATACTGACGTGGGCCGCGGGTGTCCGCATCACAACCTGGGCGAAAATCCCATGATGCGTTGGCGGGGATGTGAATGCCTTCATGACGTAAGCGTGGTGCTCCCGCCAGCGGATGTCCCTGGCATTCCAGAGTTCCAGAGTGTGCGTGCCCGCGTCCTTGCAGATCCGCCTCGGCCGCCTCGAGCGCGCTCTGAACCGAGAGCTGTGGCTTCAGCGTGAAAGCGAACTCTCCCAGCACGGACTTGATCTCGTTGCGCAGCAGGCCCAAATCGCCCTCGAACTCCAACCTATGGACCACGTTCACAACTCTGTCAATGAGCTCCCTCTCCTGTGCGGTGTTCAAAACGTAGCAGAGGAGCTCGCGGGGTCGGGCGGTCTCGTTTCTCAGCCGCTTCAGCACGTCGCGGTTCTTTGAGCAGTCCTCGGCAACCAGAGCTCTCACCGTCCTCTGAAACTCGAGCGCGTAGTCCATCATTGGAAAGGTCGTCTTGTGCGCCGTCGCCCAATTCTCGATGCTGCCACCGTAGAGGAGCCTCAGGTAGAGCTCTTTGGCTGCAGTCCGGTCGGGGTGCGTCTTTGCCAGCACGGCGTCCCGCTCTGCCACGAAATTCTTCAAAAATGCGGAATCGTGGCAGTTCGCCAGGTCGAACGTGTAGTGGTTGCGCAGCCCGGCTCTGGCCACGTCTCTCAACCATCTCGGCAGCATGAAGGTGGAAGCCGCCATGTTCCCGCTGGCCACTCCTGGGTTCTTCAAGCGGAGCGCCTTCAACTGATCTCCGTCCGCCCCCCCCGTGTGCCGCCTCCCCTTCTTCTTGAGATCCACCATGAGAGACTCCTCGAAGTAGACAGTCTTGTAGGCGCGTGCCGCGCAGGGAAGCCTGTTCCGGCCGCACTGCACAAGGAACAGCGTGGGACCGGAGCCGTTGCTCAAGCGGAACACCTTGGATACCTCCCGCGTGGCCAACTCTCCAAGAGCCTCCTCGTTCACGTGGTCAAAGAGAATTTGCGGCTCGTTCCCCTCCTTGTCCACGTCCTCCATGAGGTGGTCCCCCAACTGGAGAGGTGCCTCGGCCACTCCTTGCAACACAAGGTTCCTCGCGGCCTTGTTGTGGCCCCCTTTCTAGCCTGTGCCTCTGGCGATTGCACTTCTCGCTCAAACAGGACAACTGTTCCCCCAGGCCTCCACTCAAAGAGGACATCAAAATGCTCGGTCCGCTCGCGTCCACGCAAGCATCGGCTGCCGCCCAGCCGTGCACCGACGGACAGCCAGCCGAAGAAACGTGTCTCAGACCTGTCTCAGCAATAACAAGACACAGCCTAAGATTGAGACATCCGCCAAACCACAAGCAGAAGTGTCTCAGGTGTCTCAATCTTTGGATGGCTGTCTTGTTATTGCCGGGACAGGTCTGAGACACATTTGAGACACTTCTGTTCGTGTTTAGTGGGTGCCTAAAAGAGAGATCCGAGGGCCAAAAACGGAGAGCATCCGTTGGCAAGTATCAAATGAGGTTGAGGGATGAGCGGGGAAAGAAAACGTCCACCCCAGCCCTTGAGGTGGACGTTTGTTTTTGGAACCCAAATG